AAAAAAAGTATAAAAAAAAATTAATATACTTTAAAAGCTTGCATTGTTATTTCATTTAAAACTATACAAGTAGCTCGTAAGAATAGCTAGTTCTTATTATAATAAATTTTTAAAAAACTACATGAATTATATTTTTTATAGACAAATTTATTTAATGGATAAATACTAATTTTTATTACTTTCTAACTAGAATTCAGAGATATGTAAATTATTTTAATTTATTAATAAAGATATAAATAATTTTTATTATATATATATAAAATATAGATGTCAAATTAAATATCGCGAAAAATCAATTAATTTGATATATTATATATGAAATGTTGATGCTAAATAAAAAATCTATATATATATATATATATATATATATATATATATATATATATAATATAGATGTCAAATTAAATATCGCGAAAAATTAATTAATTTGATAAATTATATATGAAATGTTGATGCTAAATTAAAAATCTATATATATACATTAAAATGTAATATTATAATTATTTTTGGATTAGTGGTTTGTAGTTTTCAAAGTCTAATAAATATGCATGAATAAAAGTCCAAATCCTACCATCAGATATTGACACAGCACATGAAATTGATATATAAAACTGATACTTCAAAATTTCATTTATTTATCTACAAAGGCTTAATTTAGTGTCAATTACAATGCCTATAATACACGAGGTGTACTATACATTAAAATAAGTTAAAAATGTTGGTCTTCTTTCCTTTTTTTTGGTACAGGGACCTTCCGATTTCCGGATCCACAGTGGAACCGACTAATTCGGAATCAAGCCGGGTAGGACCACAAGGGCGGCAAAGCTCTCCCTCAAGAGTTTTAACACTGTTGCATTCCCAGGGCTCGAACACGAGACCACTGGTTAAGCTGGAAGAGACCCAAGCCATCTCATCCAAGCGCTCTTGGGTTGGTCTTCTTTCCTTTATTTCTTCATTGAGCTGAGCCCTCTTAGTCTTACGTTGAAATTCCCCGGAAAAAAATGGCATAATCAGCTGAGCATTGAACGATTGACAATGAATTTTGGCCCCTTGCAACCTTGTTTCCATTTTCTCAACTTAGGAGTAGTGTTGTAATCCAAGTCTCCAACCAAACGAGCCGATGTTGGGCATTTCGAGTCGTATTTATTTACATTCGAACACTGTTCGTATTAGTTCGTTTATTTTTCGAGCAAAAAGTCGTGTTCGAAGTCGTTCATTTATGTTCGTCAAAGTTTGAGTTCGTTCATATTCAAATAATTTAGGAAATAAACTTTTTCTATATGATTGATCAATTCAAAAATTGTTTTTTGAATCCTTTAGAACTCGAAAATAAAAAAAATAAAATAAAATAAAATAATATTATTTTTCTATTTTAAATTTTTTATGAATGTATCATGTAAACATACAAAATATAACATCAAGTTATATCAAACTAATGTTGGCGAACATTTTCGAATGTTCGCGAACGATCTCATATTCGTTCGATTATTAGACGGGTCTAATTTTCTATCCGAACACGCATGATTAACAACAAACGAGCTCTTATCGAACATACGATCGGACTTGAACGAGCTCAAACAAGCTTTTGATCGCAAACGTTCGGTAAATGAAAACCCTACTTAGGAGGGGTGAGCAAAACCGAGCAGGAAATGAAAATCAAACCAAACCAAACCATGCAATTTAGGTGTGGTTTGGTTCGGTTTTTAAACGTAAAAATTATTTCGATTTTTTTCTACATTTTTGTGCGGTTCTGTTATTATTCACCATAAGTTTGGTTTTCGATTTCGTTTAGTTCGGTACGTTGTGCACTTGCCTCAACTTAAATATAAATGTACAAAAAGCCAAGGCAAAACCAAAAATTGAGTTGAACAATGCATTACGATGCGGTTTGATTCGATTATTCTAATACAAAAAAAATACTCGTTTTTAATTTAGTTTTTTTTTTTCTAAGTTGCAATGCGGTGAAATTTTGCACTGAACCACACCGTTGTTCGCTCCTACCTCTAATAATTTCAAAATAAGGGGTCTCATTATGCCTAGATATATATACTAACCGAGTCGAGCTCTAAGCCCGAGCCTTTATCGAGCTAAGCTCAAGTACGTCATTAACTAATTGAGCCAATAAACCAGCTCAAGCATAACTCATTTATTAAAATTAACGAATCGAACTCGAGTCTTAATCAACCAAGTTAATTAAGCTAATAGTTCCAAACCCAATATGTTCAACAACTCTACTTTTATAGCAAAAAAAAAAAAAAATTGGGTATCTCATCTAAAAATGTGTAAAAAACATTTTATATCATCAAGTTTAATAATATGAGGTAATATTCAAACAAATTAAACAATTTAGCAGGTGTGTCTTTGGAAGACTTTTGATTTGTATTGTATAAAATTTAGATATATTTTTAAAAATAGTTTAGAAAATTTTAGGCGATTTTATACAGTTTTTTATATAATAATATAGAACAAATTAGGTATTTTTACACATGTAATACAACATTTTATGTCTTTTTAATATTTTCTTTAGATATGTTCGGTCCGTCCCGGCCCGCTCCGGCCTGCGCTGGCCCGCGGTCCAAACGGGACGGGCCAAAATGGCCCGCATTTCTACGGGCTGTAAAATACATAGCCCGTGGCCCGCCCGCATTAGCCCGCGGGCCAAATTGGCTCGCCCGCGGGTTTTGTTTATTTTTTTTATGGTATTTGCACTCTTATATATTTTTTGGTTTGTTTATTCTTATATTTACTAGTATATGAATAAACTAGTAAGGTTTCATGTGTAATGATGTTAAATATTTGTAATCTAGTTTTTATTTTTATTTTTTTTATCAATAGTTATAGGGTATTCGCGTACGAACGACTTAATTGACATAACATATTATTTGATTTATTAATATTTTTATTATGTAAAAAAGTATGTTTCATGTGCAAGTTAAAAATTAGAAATAAAATAAAAAATACTACATTTAAAAAAAAAAAA